AATATTAAAAAATATCTCGTTACATGACCCAGCAATAAAAACTGAATCCTTACCATGTCTTTATAATTATGTGCATTTCAATCAAGTATTAAACTTGACATAAACGGCACAGTGTGAGAGACACAGATGGAAGGCTACTTAGTGAGTGAGTGAGTGAGTGAGTGAGTGAGTGAGTGAGTGAGTTTTTACACCGCTTTTAGCAATATTCCAGCAATAGCACAGCTGGGAACACCAGAAAAGTGAATCTCTATCACTGTACCCACTTCCGTTGTTTCATATTCTGTGACACCCCAGATACACTAGAAACCACCTTGTTTCTGGTGATTTCATCAATGTCTCCTTGCTTGAAACGATGGTTTTCCCATACAACGAGTGACTGAGTGAATGTTGTTTTACACCACGCAGTATGCAGTATGCCAGATTTATCGTCATGTTCGTCTTTGCATGGCAACCAGTGGTTGACAGCATGAGTAAGGATCAATGCCGTCGGGGTACGATGACACAAACCAGGATGGCCACACTTGTTACCGCGACTCCATACTCACTCACTCACTCACTGAAATGCAAAGGCAACAGGTCATCTTGTGCTGGACGTAGCATTTGACACGCAACACGGCGGGATAAGCTGTTTTCTCATTCTCACTGCTATGACTTATAATAATAATAATAATAATGATGATGATGATGATGATGATGATGATGATGATAGAAGAATTAGAAGAACAATAACAAACAAACATGTGCATACCGTATCCACGCCCTAAAGCATGCTCAAAGCGCTACATTATCACCACGGTTAGAGGGTCAGTGTGCACGCGAATTTCATTCTCAGCTTCCTGGGGAGTATACAACCCAAGCTTCCTAATGACGCCCTAGAACGTAAACAATAAATGTATTATCTCATCCTACCGGGTACCCATTCACTGCTGGTTGAACAGATTCACATTGCGAACAAAGTCTGTTACCTAAGGAGAAACCGTATGTGACACATGTGCTTCAGGGTGGGGTAGGAGTCAAACTTGAATAACAGTGCCATCCATCCAACCACTCTCCGCGACCAATGTTACTTAATGTCGCCTGGGTTTTGGCTTGTGCACTGTACAAGGTACACATGTCACTCCCGTCTGTATTTCTAGCGAATGTTTACAAACGACTTGGCGATATGTACGTGTTAACGTGTCTCTTCATTACATCGGAACCAGCTTTCATGTGAGGATCACTCATCGTCCCTGATTTCCTGCCTAGCCCATCTCGGAAGCTTGACCACTGTCGCCAATATATATTATTATCACTGACTTTTGCTATCACCACTGTATTTTTGTATTTGGTACTGACCACAGCGAGTATTTATTGCCATTGAATATTGTACTACAACTCTATTGTTTACGGCCATTGTAATTGCTGTGCAGTAATTTGTATTGATTTGTAAACTTAATTACTTTTGTAATACATTTGTTGATTGTATACTTCTTGTTGGTTGTTGATTGGTTTCACAAACAGTTCTTGTACGTACAGATTTCGGGGTTAACACATTGCTACATCATATGTAAGAATGGGTATATTTTGTATAATCAATGTGTACCTAACAATGCAGACTCAAGGATATTTACTTACATACTTACTACATTGAAGATGAGTTTCACATCTGTTGGTCTGTCCAAAATACGACCATCTAAGACTAAATATATTGAACTACATTTTTATATACATCCAACTCAACAAAACTTTATATCGATCATGTCAACAACTGATAAAGATACTCTAAAAAACTATCAATGTTCATTTATCATGCTATGTTAATTAAATTACGACCTGTTAAACATATCAGCACCCACTCTCGAAAACAGAATTGTACTACTGGCCTGAGCGCTTCGGTATGAAATATAACTTATCCTTATCCCTCTCCTGTAAGAAAGAGTGCGTTAGTTAGGTTTTACCCAATGTTCAAGCAATACCCGACGGGACACTAAAAAGAGGGCTTCACATCTTCCCCATTTAGGTAATCAATCCTAGATCTCGCCGGCGCACCATCAACTACCAGTGGTCACACACGACTGTTAATGGACACAATCTTACAATGTTATCAGCAGAGGCTGTTCAAAAGATAGTTAATTAAAGTGAAATAGTTATTGCTGTTCAAAAGATAGTTAATTAAAGTGAAAGAGATATTAGTTGTTCTGTAGTGTTATAGAAATACAAGGTGTAAAGGTTATTGATGCAAAAACATGAAGAGAAATAAAATAATTGTGAAAAAAACACATTTCTGTAGACAAACCAATTTTCAAACAGGCAAACTATCACAGGTCACAGGAAATAAGTCACGTGACTCGTTCACCCAAGAGTCAATATGAGGAAATGTTTTGAAGCCACAGCACGCTGTGCAACCATGGGCGACGTGAGGGTGTCTGGAACAATACTGGTATTAATGGTATCCTATTGCTCTGGTAAGTAGATTAATGCGCACAAATAACAATTTGTCCTGTTCATCACATTACGTATTGTTTGATAATGATAGTGGATAGTGTGTCCGTCGCTAAAGTTCCTCCTTCCCACCTAATGCTTGACTCAAATGCAATTTACTGATAAACGTAATTTAGTCGTTGTTAAGCAGGCGACCATTTGTCAAACATGGATAACCCTAATCATGAATTTGAAAACTATTTTTCCATGACATTTTTTAATCTTGCAATCTGACCTGTCCTGGACTCCAGGGATGTAGAACTGGGAGATAAACCTCGTGTTTTCAATGTAGAGGATTCACACGTAGATTAGATATGTTCAGCGTGTGGTTTCGAATTAAACAAAAGAAAATCGAATCAAAGTGTAAAATCTGTAATGATAGCACAGGTGGTTTCCATTCTAATATGGCAGAATTAGGAGTGTTCAGGTATCGGATGATATTTTCTGCAGGTTGCAATGGCGAATTTGGGATTACTGAAGATCGGTTATAATCAAAATCTATATTCGCTTCATGTACCCAAACCTAAACCTTCCCCATAATACTTGAACCACTTCATTGAGACGCAAAAACATCTAGGCCGATTTCCTGTTAGCATTATTCAATTTAATTCACTTCAATTCAGTGGTATTTTTTATGAAAGGCCATTGGCCCATATACAAGTGAGTTACATAGACATACAGTTACTTTACCAAATGTTGTAGTATACGGACTATCAAGACAACAACAACTGACGTAACACAAAAGCATGGTGAATGCATAAAGATACTTGTAGTTGATCCCTATACCTTTTGCTTGACAGCAGACATCCATTCAAAGTTATTAGTAGATATAATTGAAAATGACCAGGCGGGAAGATATTTCATTCTTATTTTGTTATTTACAGGGCAAATAAACATAACATGAAATTCGTCTTCAGCACCAAGGTTACAGACGGGGCAAATTCTTAGTGACTTTCCAATATCTAAATATCTTCCTCTATTCTCTTTTTAATCACTCAGACCCAACCTAAGGCGTATAAATGTATTGCGGTGGTGTTTGCATCTTAAATTTGAAAGATACGACTCTGGTTCAAGGAGAGACTTAATATTACGATATGTGTCGTATCTCGACCTCCTGAAAGTGTAGAATGCCAATACTGTCGGAACATATCAACATATCAATATATATAGTGGGAACCTCCCACATTCACCATAAACCATATTACTGGGAGTTGACATGCCCACATTAAGAAATCTTTTTTGAACCTTTTCGATAGAATATGACTCTCGACAGCCCCATAATTCTTCGCCATATAATAAGATCAGATGTATTTGACAATCAAACAGGTTAAAGAAAATGTGAGGTCTAACAACGCCAAGTTTATACAGTTTAATGTACTTGTGACTAATATTCACGCCGCTTTCAGCAATATCCCAGCAATATCACGGCGGGGGACACCATATTTCAATGAAACAATCCATGCCACTGGTAATTACATTGTGATCCGGTTTTGAGGTCAACTGTATTTGTTATGAACCTGTAGTGTTTTGAATATGCTCACTCTATATCGCTGTATGGCTCTGATATGGTGAGTCAAATATTTCACTCAGCCGAAAGAATTAACTTATTTCCTAAATTTCTGCCGTCCATCTGTATTTCGCGCTTCTTGAAAAAAAGTATCAAGTTTGACAATTCAAATGTGTTTAGAAACAAGGTTGTATACATAAATGCTTTCTTCAAGTGAACTGGAAGCAACTATATGCTACTTATATCTCTGTGTTGCATATAGGATTAGATTCCACTAAAGGTCTCATATAAAGCGAGGAGCTGTGTTGATGTTTGAGAAAGTACATGGCATGAAAATCTGCGACAATGGCAAATAATGTCGGACTTTATTGTATAAATGCGTTTCAAATATTAAATCTGCTTATACCGTGTTTTATGCAGCATTTATAATTTGAAATAGGTCCTCTTGGACCCTTTTCAAATATTTCAGTTTTTCGAGTTTTCAGTTTGCTCTCAATGGTCGAACAGACTATGTTTAAATGTTGTCAAATATTTGGTGTACATCGTCAAAGCCTTGAGACTGTATGTTAGCCCTTTGGTTTTACATTGTACGTTTTGACCACCTTGAATAGGTAATCTGGAACCTCTCTTTTTCCTTCTGTTTCATTTCCCGCCGGATGCCATCTGGGAAACCTGCGTGACTCTCTTATTGCCAATGCGGCATTTCCTGTCAATCTTATATGCAGAGTGGGTGAGTTAATTTCTGGGGGAGTGTCTTGTCAGGGATAGAATATATCATATGCCACTGCTTCAAGGTATACAGTTTTGTCCTCTGAAAGGTACCTAATACTTGTTTAGGTGAGCCGTATTTGTCATAAACTTTCTTTATTTCTGCACATTGAAAACTGCGTGACTCTTTTCTTGGCAATGCGACGTTGAATATATACTCACTCTTCACACTGACGTTGTCCTGAACTTCCCTGTTCCTGAATTCAAAATACAAATCAATAATCTTTGTGAAATAAGCTCATGCACTTTTTCTGTTATACTTCAGGTTCCATCATTTGTGACAAAGTGGATGTGGCAGAAATAGAAGGGGATGTTAATAGCGTTTGTTACAATCAGGGGAGTGAAGAGATCAAGTGTCCCAGAAATGAATCAGTGTTGGTCAAACACTTCTTGCAAAGAGCTCATGTAAGTAGGGACGGTGACGACAGGAATGCAGACTACAGATCCTGTGTAGAAAAATTCAATGATGAATATTATGACGTTGGGGAATGTTTGTTAATGACGTCGGAAGTGCATCAGAAGAGGGCTTATCAGGCCGCGATCACGGAGGTTCTGGAGGAGTGTAGTCAGAAGAGGTACTGTATCCTGGAGAGTGACACGAGTTCCTCTATCCATGGTCTGAAGGACCTCCCAGTAGGAGAGAGAAAGAAACGCCCGTCACATCTCGTTGTATTGCATCAGTGTGTTAAAGGTAACTTACAGCCTGCCATTTACAGGGACATATAGTGAAGATTTTTAACTTTAAGCGAGACTATGTTCCACGTTTGTTTTAGTTTGTGCCATGTTACCACTGAAACAACGTCTTTGTACACTAGTTTTCAAGATGATGCTCATTACATAGATTGGCTCACATACTACAATAGTGGAATCTGAATGTCACGAAGCAAACGTACAGAAACTGCCAGCTGACCAGACTATTCTAACCATTCAAGTCTTTATGTTGCTCTCTGTTTGATTCCTTTCTGTAATCGCGTTGTACTCTTTATAACGAGTTGACCAAAATATCTGACACTCCGAAGTAAAGTGGTTTGTTTGTCGTTTAATGCAGCAATTAACAATATTCCAGCTGTACGGTCGGCCCAATATTAACTCGCCTCGCTCGACAAAGGTTGCTGGGGATCTATTCTAAGCCGGAATCTCCACGTAGCAAGTGTTCAAGGAACATGCTGTACACGGGGATTTGTCACCGGCACCTGGAAACCCATCTGCAGTTGTCTTACCATTTATCACAATGTATAATATAATATTTAAGCGTTGTATATTGAAGGAGTGTATGTATGGATATATATAATAACATATACATAGTTTCAGATGTGCGTACTTATATTCACATATGGAAATACGACCATAATCATTGATTATTTACTTTCCTATTTATCATGTTTAAAGCAAAGCATCATCCCTTGTTAACAAATCAAATTTATGACTCCTCATACAGTGAGTGAGTGAGTGAGTGCGGTTTTATACCGCTTTTAGCAATATTCCAGCAATATCACGGCGGGGTACAGATTGTACCCATATCGGGAATCGAACCCGGGTCTTCAGCGTGACGAGCGAACGCTTTAACCACTAGGATACCCGACCACCCCTCCTCATGAAGAACTTATCCATCATGATATGACTTTTCAGATCAAGTTGCGAGTGTCTTGTTGTGTGACAGCCAGACCGAAACAGGCAAGGAGGTCTACATCAGCAGCGACCGACTGAAGATGTCATCTCTGGAAACAAACACCTGCACCTGTACAGTCAGTGGAGCTGCGAGCCGCGTCACCCTGCTGGACGTCAGACTGGACAACAGCCACGTGACCACACTGTCCATCAGGGACAAGACACGTACAGTGTACACAATCCATGGTGGCGACCAGGCAGTCCACTTCATGAAGGAGATTAACATCAGCCAATCAGAGTGGAGTTTACAGGTGGATGTTATCCGAGACTATCTCCCTGACAAGATATGGATGAGACTGGAAGGTAATAATTTAATAATGCACCTTTAATGACAAAACGTGTAATGTTATCATTAAAATTAAACGTCTTCGTCAATAAATTATCTTCCCTTTCTACAGGACACAACGGCTCTGACGTTACAGTCACATGTAAGGGTATGTCCTTTGCTATTTCTACTTGGAGGGGCGGTGGGGTAGACTAGTGGTTAAACCCGGGTTCGATTCCCGACATGGGTACAATGTGTGAAGCCAATTTCTGTGATATTGCTTAACGGTGGCATAATGCAATACTCACTCACTCACTCACTATTTCTTCTTGTCAATATATGCTCGCTCACTCATTCAGCATAATTATTCACCAAATTAAGCTAACATTATTTGAAAGTTAGATTGACATCAACGAAAAAACGAAACGTTATTAGTATCAACGTACAGTGCTAAGGAAATGAAACATAATCTATCATGTATGTATAAGGTATGGTAACTTACCACGAGCTGATGGGGTGAGAATGCGATTGTTTAATAAAATATATACTCAGTGGTCTGTTCGAGAGACAATTTTATTTATTCCAACTTCACCAAGTTATTCTTCTTCCATATCTGATTAAAACAGGTGAACCGCATCAAGCGAAAGTGATACTGAAAGGAGGCACCTCTTTCTCAACCATAATAAATAGGGAGATTCTAATAATGATATTAGCTGTTGTAAGTTGCAAGCAGCGGAGTTGAGGTTCCTAGACCCTTCAGGCCACGTTGTATTTGGAGAGGAAACAAAATGTGAATCAAAATATATTGTGTATGTATTTCAATGTGTATCGAGCATGGTTCAATGAATACATTCTTCTGACATCTTATTATTGTCTTTTGAATGAGAAAACGTCAATTGGATAGAAAAACATAGTTTAAAACTTGAGTTGGTCAAACTGGACGTCTTTGTTCTACATTGTTATTGCATTGATCTATGTGCCCCCATATCATTTTTAAAAAATTGTTTCAGAATCAGAGACTCATGACACACATGTGGCGCCACGATCTTCGTCAGGTGAAGAGTGTTTGAATTATTAAGAAAAGAGTGTTATTGTATTTATCACTACAGCTGTGGCAGGTGGTTAATATCTACATGTTTTACGAGTACGTCATGAACGCATCTCGGGGGGTGGGGGTGGGGGAGGCTGGGATGGGCACAGATTGATGATTACTCTGAGGCATCGTATCTCGTAATGTCACGTTGTGTCTCGTGGCAGTTCAGTAATCCACTGATGGTCGTTTTAAAAAACATCCTCCTCATTATGACTCCAGGTTAACACTGCAGGCATACTCGATGATTCCAGTAAATGGGATATTTTCTGTGAACTGCATGATGTTGGGGTCTTACGCGCGAAGTTTTGTCTTCATTTGTTGGTTTGTTGTTTAACGCCGAACTCAGCAATATGCTAGCTATATGACAAGCATAGTCGCCTTTTACGGCAAACATGGGTTGCTGAAGACCAATTCTACCCCGGATCTTAACGGGTCTAATCTGTCCCCAGGCACCTCGACGTCAGGATATTCTTTTTTGTTCTGGATAACATATTTCCATTGTTTCCTTTTCATTGCAGGTGAACGTCACACTCAGATTGTGTTTGTGTGCGTTGGCTTTGTCACAGGGTTTGTCTCTGTTGGTTTCATCATGGCTATTTGTGTTAAAAGGTAAATAATACCAACACGGACTTGAACTAGTATTTGTCATTATGTAAACATCTTGTGAGACATATAAACAAAAGCAGAAACACAACAATATTATCCATTCGTTCTGACTGAGCATTATCTTGTTTTAGGAGGTCAGGACACTCGGGCTCCACGTCTAACGAAGGAGGCGATCGCGATAAGGGCGTGGTCTACTACTCTCAACCGGATGAGTCACGTGTCCAGCAGCCAATCGGATCACCAGAAGGAGATGCTGCTGAACCTAACTACCACATGCCGGATGACCCACGTGACCAGGGAGCAGCAGGATGCAATTACTACCTGGTTCCTGTTCACCGACAGAAACGATAAACCAGCCTTGCTGAAATAGTGTCAATGCTTTGTCTTGCTTTGTTTATTGCACTATTAGTAAGGAGACTGTGTTTTTACAAACCATTTTGCATCTTTTACAGTCGATATCGTTGGTGACCACACCTGACATTAACATTGATAGCGTCATCTGATGGAATGTGTAACTCCTCATCCATGTCATTTCTAAGGTTTACTTTTTGATATTGTATGGTGATGTCAAAAGGGGTTTAACGTCGCGTTCAAGATTATGTTTACTTTAATTATAGACGTGAATGCTTTGTTTGTTTGTTGTTAAACGCCGAACTCAGCAATATTCCAGCTGTATGACGTCGGTCTGTAAATAATCGAGTATGGACCGGATAATCAAGTGATAGATATCATGAGCATCGATCCGAGCAAGCTGGACCGATGATATGCATCAACCAAGTCAGCGAGCCTGACCACCCAATCCCGTTAGTCGCCTCATACGACAAGCAAAGTCGCCTTTTACGACAAGCATGGGTTGGTGAAGACCTGATCTTCACGTGCATGCATGTTTGTGGCTACTAGTCCGGGCTTATGCCGGTTTTACAACGCTAACCCACTGAGATACCATGCTGTAGTTTAAAATGGACAACACGGCCTCAGGCGGATTGAACAGACACCGATCCGACCAGTCATGGCTGTATGATGCTGAGCGCCAGGCAAGGTAACAGCAAGTACCATCTTATAACATCTTTTGGTGTGACGGGGCCAGGGGATCGAACCACCGACCTTCCACTCTACGGACCATTGTTTATTATGCATGGTGCTTGTAGACTATGTTATGTTTGGAAAAGGGTTATGGGAAGGGTTTTGTCGTTTTGAGTTATTATAAACACCTTCTGATGGCATTGAACAGTGCATAAACATCGAGGTCTGAATTTTAGACAAAGGATTTAGGCTCGAAAAATAGAAAATTGGAGCTGCTCTACCATATTTTATTACAGGAACCCTTGATGTAAGCACAGTTACTTCAAGGACAGTTTACAGGACATGATTATTCACTGATAAATTGATTTTTGATTATAAACAACTTGTAAAAAAGACCTGTCACCATGCTTTGCCCGCAATAAAATCTGCCTCCTACCATGTGTTTGTCCATATGTGTATCAACAAGAAAAGAGCCTTATGTTTGTAATTTGTAATGATCATTTGCATCCATTTCACTTATAGAGCATATGTTAAGCACAATATGATGAAAAGTATTATAGATAAATGGGATTTTCGAGGTAGACCTTATCTATACTAGGCACAAAAGACTTGTGTAGAATCTCAAGTTCTTCTGTGCCTTACTCAGCTATACAATTTCTACCTATAATCAAAATGGAAGAACCTATGGGTACAGTTTAGTTACACCTGTCCCTTTCTCCATTTACTTCCAGACAGTTTGGTTGTTGTCGATGCAGAGAAAACAATCCTTGTTTTGAAAACTTTACTTTGCTCAGTCTGTCAACCTCTGGTCAATAAATTCCTCGACAGACGCAAAACACACATTCGAGTGTTGCGTCCCCGAGTCGTGCCAGGATCCGATGATGGAATGTTCGAATCCCACATACGCCCTGATTGTAGTCCTCTGTTTGTCACTAATTTACCTGTGGTCGTGGGTTTCATCTGAGTTCTAAACATTGGACACAGTTCAGCAGTCGTAGACCTCGACAACATATACAACAAGCTACATCATGGCGTCCTGTAATAATCCGGCAAACCAGTGACTGACATTAAGAGAGACCCCCAAAGCCTTCGGGATCCGATGCATGCAATCAGCCGAGGCAAGCCACCCGATCCTTCCTGTCGCCTCCCGAGACAGGCATAGGTTACTCCGGACCTCGTCTAACTATAAAGGATAAAAGATAGGTTACTCCGGACCTCGTCTAACTAGCAAGGGTCAAAGATAGGTTACTCCGGACCTAGTCTAACTATCAAGGATAAAAGATAGGGTACTCCGGACCTAGTCTAACTATCAAGGATAAAAGATAGGTTACTCCGGACCTCGTCTAACTATCAAGGATAAAAGATAGGTTACTCCGGACCTCGTCTTACTATCAAGGATAAAAGATATGTTACTCCGGACCTCGTCTAACTATCAAGGATAAAAGATAGGTTACTCCGGACCTCGTCTTACTATCAAGGATAAAAGATAGGTTACTCCGGACCTCGTCTAACTATCAAGGATAAAAGATAGGTTACTCCGGACCTCGTTTAACTATCAAGGATAAAAGAAAGGTTACTCCGGACCTCGTCTAACTATCAAGGATAAAAGATAGGTTACTCCGGACCTAGTCTAACTATCAAAGATAAAAGATAGGTTACTCCGGATCTCGTCTAACTATCAAGGATAAAAGATATGTTACTCCGGACCTCGTCTAACTATCAAGGATAAAAGATAGGTTACTCAGGACCTCGTCTAACTATCAAGGATAAAAGATAGGTTACTCCGGACCTCGTCTAACTATCAAAGATAAAAGATAGGTTACTCCGGATCTCGTCTAACTATCAAGGATAAAATATATGTTACTCCGGACCTTGTCTAACTATCAAGGATAAAAGATAGGTTACTCCGGACCTCGTCTTACTATCAAGGATAAAAGATATGTTACTCCGGACCTCGTCTAACTATCAAGGATAAAAGATAGGTTACTCAGGACCTCGTCTAACTATCAAGGATAAAAGATAGCTTACTCCGGACCTAGTCTAACTATCAAGGATAAAAGCGAAAGTATATTGCCCAGTACCAGGATAAAGCTTCACTCGCGAACACCTGGTGTCATCCCTGATTTTCAGTGATCTATTCATGTAATTTGTATCCCTCATTTTCCTTTTACGCCCAATATCAGTATGTAGTATCACGAGGGGTACACGTGGCTTTATGCGCCTTCCGAAAAACTAATGAGGGACACATAAAACCTAAAGAATATGTGAATGTTTTGTGGCTATGATTTATGTGTATCAGTTTCTCGACAGTACATCACACATGCTCCTTTGGAAATCGTGCTCTCGTTCTACATTTGATGAACAGTTTAGTAGTTTAACGACCTTGGGTCCGGCCGACAAGGAAAACACAGATGACGGGACTGCATATCAGATCCGTTTCAATTATAGAGCATGAAACATCAAGGCCGATTTTGACAGATTTAGCATTTTATTCAACAAGTGCCTCATTGACCGTTTTGGCACTACTGAGTCTTATTTGTTTGTAGTGAGATACATGACTGCTAAGCTATCCTTGAAACTGAAACCGGCTGCATATGACTCACGAGCGAGAAAGCGATGTCCCCTCTCGGCCACCATACTCACGAACACAACTGATAGGGAAATATTAACTCACATGATTCGCGTACAGCCATGGAGACGGTCAGCGTGTTTGGATTATTGGTGTTACTGGCGAATTCCTGTCTCTGTAAGTAGATGTCTACACTGTTGCATCCTATAGAACTAACTCCTAGAATCCTTCAGATCGTACTATCAATATTCGCTGGGACCAGTGAAGATCCGGGTGAGGATAGGTCTTCAGCAACCTATGCTCATTAAGAGGCGACTCACAAGGTCGAGTGGTGAGGCTCGCAGATTTAGTTGCCAATTGCGTAGATCGATTCTAATGATGTCAGTCCCTGGATTGTCTGGTTCAGACTCGATTGTTTACAGACCGCCGCCATATCGCTGGAATATTTATGGGTGCGTCGATGAACAACATTCAAACAAACAAACTAAACATTATTTGTATGAGAAGAGCTGTTGAATAAAATTTCTGATTACGGGTTCTTTGATTATTTATATCCTACTTTGTCAATTCCGATGTTGACTGACTGATGATATACATAAACTACACGCATGCTGTCTTTGAAATTGTTCTTGATGGTAATATATTAGTTTGTTTGGACAACCAACAAGGAATAAACTGTAGAAGAGGGTGGTATGATGAGTCAAATTATTAACCGTGCTGTATTAACCTCTGAACTCAAATGCGAAGGATGTAGTGATACTATAGAAATGATTGCTTTACTCTGGTCCTTCAATACCATGAATCATTTGAAACATGTCACTTATCTTTATTGTAATTTACAGTTTAATTGATACATTGTTGACTTCATGTTAGTAATCACTGAGACATAACTGAAATAATTTTTAAAGCAGTTTTAATTCTAATGTTAACTGACTCATTAAACAATCCGTATATAACAACCTCCTTAAAAAGCAAATTCAGTTCGTGTAGAAATGTTAAATATATTGTTATGTGTTCACTATGTCACATTATTTAAATCCGGAATTAAATCGGAAAAAGTAACTTTGCTTCATGTGAGTAAGTGGGTGGGTGAGTGAGTGAGTGAGTGAGTAAACGTGAGTGAGTGAGTGAGTGGGATTTACGCCCAGTTGGACAGTATTCCAGTTACATGAATGCTGTCAGCTTAATGTGGGATGAGAGCCTGAAGTGATGCAGGTCTTAGGCATGGCACTTTCTTGAAACTCACGAACACGAGTATGGTGCTGGCAAACGTAGGAACATAATTTGGGCGAACCCACAGTCATAGAGGTTTCTGACGTGCCAAGGGACCCAACTCTGCACAACCAATTGCAGCACCCTATACGACTGAGACACCCATGCCCCTGCTTCATATAAAATGGTGTAAATGTTATGTTACTGAAAATATACAAAATCATATTTTGACATTCTTTTGATCAATGGGAGCACGGATGGCCCAGTCGTCTGAGGCGCCGCGATTCGCTGTGCAGAGTTGCGTCCCTTGGACACGACAGAAACCTATGATTGTGGGTTCGAATCTCCGTTCGCCCCAATTATATTTCTAGGTTTGTCAGCACCATACCCGTGCTCATGGGTTTCACCAAAGTGGTAAACGTCTGAGACCTGTGTCACTTCGGGCTTTCCTCCCACATTAAGCTGACACGCCGTGATATAACTGGAATACTGTTAAAAGCGGCGTCAAACCCAACTCACTCACTGTCACTCTGATCAATGTTGTATAATAAAATGTCATTGACAAAACCCAGGTGACAATATCGGGTAAGACCACCATTTGCGTTGATGCAGGCAGCGGCGAACCGCTGAATACACCAGATAATAGAACACAGCCTGGGGGTTACTTTTGCAAAAGACGACCAATGATTGTCCCAACTGAACTAGCTTTGCCAGCTGGTTCTGGTCCTGTCGTAGACGTCGAACTATCTCACTCCAGTCATGTTGTACACAGGGGGAGAGGTCTGGCGTCCTATGCCGTCATTGCACTTCTACTCCAAAACTAAAGCCGTTGAGTAACAGGAGCGTAACTAAAACGTTCTCCAGGTCGCTTTTGCATTAATATATGCATTATCTAATTCATAATTTATATTTATCAATTGTATCATTGTCTTCGATAACAATAAGTATTTTCCTCACTTTTCTCATCTTGCCTTTTTCTCTTGCTTTTTCTCAAAAGTCAAGTAAAGTGAAAAAGCTGATTGCAATTTTGTCGTGAACATCAGTTTTCCTAACCACTTTAAGTCAATTACAGAGAGATAAAATATAACATTCACAGGAAGTATTTAATTGTCCATGTCAAATGGCTGAAATCAGTTACCCTCCCTGACTCTCCATATAAAGGATTTAAAACAAGGACTGGCCGTCTCTGTCTGAGTTGGGTATTCATGTTAAAGTGCGGCATGGTATCTCAGTGGGCTAGCACTGTAAGATCGGCTTAATTCTGGACTAGTACAAGCAGCCACGAACGTACGCACATGCACGTCGCTATATAGGTGCAGCAATCTTGAACGCGACGTTAAACCCAATTTAACCTCCTTCAAGGCTGAAGACGTCGGAGGCTGCTTCACAGTGCCTACGCCATCTGAACATTGACTATAGAGCCGGCCGCGTTGAGACCCCGACACCGAATGGTGCAAAATATCAAGGAGGTCAAAGTAACTGAGGGCTATAGAATTAAGGACTGAATGTAGAAACAAGACTGGATGGGACCCCTCGGACGGGTCGGGTAATTTCTTCAGACGCTAGTGGTGGGAAGGATCTCCCGGACACTGACCGAGAACCATCCCAGGTACGATCTAATCTCAGGGTAATGGCGAGGTAAATGTCGGCCTCCTGAATACGGTAAAACGGAACCACGGAGGATAAAGAGTGCTACAATATGCAGCGATGTCAACAACACCAGGCAACTGGGGCACCCCCGTGTGGTGGTCATTTAATGCATAGAGGCGAAGTAGACATGGGCAGGCTTGTCACCCATCTTGTCAAGGGCAACCCTCTTGCCCACTTCACGGGTGGCCCGAACATGAAGATTCCCCAGCAGAGTTCGAATGGCAGAGACACCAGGTTGTCCGAGCGCTCTAGAACAACCAGTGAACACTTCTGTCTTCAGCTGTATTGTAGGCACCACCGCAAAGAGGGACAATAACATTGGACGATGAAGACTTCGACGGAGAGGCAGAAAACATAGGCTTTTTTGGTTGGTTGGTTTGTTGTTTTGTGCCGCAGTCAGCAATATTCCAGCCATATGACGATGTTCTGTATATAATCGTATCTTGACCAGGCAATCCAGTGATTGATATCATGAACATCGATCAAGCCAATTGGGATAGATGACATGCTTCAACCAATTCAGCGAGCTTGACAACCCGATCCCGTAGGTCGTTGTGGAAGTAATTACCTGCCGAAGATCCGCAATAGGTGTGGACCATAACTGATCCTCGAGACAGCCGACGTGAACCAAGAACCGTCTCTGGAGGACTCCGATTTCCCCTTACAAGAGTGATGCATGTCGGGCTTAGACGACTAAGAGCGCGGGGATTTCGATTTCCACTTACCAAGTTTGGCCGAATGAAGCAAACATAGACTTGAGTTCGGCCACGCTCTGGGCCATGTTGGCTCGCATACTACTCATCTGAGTTCGCATACTACTCATCTTAGCTCGCATACTACTCATCTTAGCAGACAATTCCCCATCTGTGTTCAGGCGATCCGCCGGCTGCGGGGACGTCGGCAACAGAGTCTAAAATGATCATCCAGGGGCAGACACGGAGGGAAACGGAGCCAGAGACGCCCATCTCAAACCCATCTTACACTGTTATTTGGAGGCCAAAGTCCGGTATAAAAGGATATCAAATTGCTTTGACAAGCATACAGAGAATTTACATGACTAACTATTGGCAAACAGTGTCACACGAGGTTGCACTAGTATGATAATATTACTTTAAGGCAATATACTCAGATTATCAGAATGGCCTGAACTGAGCGGCATTATATAGTTGTTTGGAACGAAAGATGCAGCTGAATACATATTACTTGAATGAAGTTTTACTTTCAAGTAAAATTATATTCACTGGCAATGCATATTCTGTTTTAAACGAACACGAGCCATTAGAGTCCTGACAATTTGATATTCTGGAGAGGTTGGGGTTGGGTTTTGGTTGTTATTTTATCGCAAAAAATAAACTGTCCAAGAAAAATCGTGAAAAAATAATTATACTTCACATTTTTGGACAAATACAGAAAATGTCTGCCAATTTGACATTGTTGCATATGTGTTTTTAATTTTTTTTAATACATATTTAGGCTCATAGCTTTAAATATAAATAATATCTGGTGTTGCATCTATAGCTGAAAAAAATATCTGGTCTCAAAACAAAATCCCAGACCTCCTCCCTGACTATCTTCAGATTTTCTTGATGAAGTGTTGAATAAGGCTTCAAACAAAACTATTTTCACTGGCGATGCATATTCTATTAAGATATTTGATGAATGTTAAAGGGAAATATTAGACACTGAAATCAGAATTTTAGTAAATAATTTTCCCGCGATCAATAACAGGAAATGTTCATTTTCTCTATTTCCTGTCAGTCTTTTATCCAGAGTGGGTGAGTTAATTTCTGGGTGAGTTTCTTGTAAGGGATAGAATATGTCTTATGCAACTGCTTCAAGGTATACAGTTTTGTCCTCTGAAAGGTGCCTAATACTTGTTTAGGTCACCCGTATTTGTCATAAACTTTCTTTATTTCTACACATTGAAAACTGCGTGACTCTCTTCTTGCCAATGCGACGTTGAATATATACTCACTCTTCACACTGACGTTGTCCTGAACTTCCCTGTTCCTGAATTCAAAATACAAATCAATAATCTTTGTGAAATGACCTCATGCACTTTTTTCTGTTATACTTCAGGTTCCATCATTTGTGACAAAGTGGATGTGGCAGAAATAGAAGGGGATGTTAATAGCGTTTGTTACAATCAGGGGAGTAAAGAGATCAAGTGTCCCAGAAATGAATCAGTGTTGGTCAAACGCTTCTTGCAAAAAGCTCATGTAAGGAAGGACGGTGACGACAGGAATGCAGACTACAGATCCTGTGTAGAAAAATTCAATGATGAATATTATGACGTTGGGGAATGTTTGTTAATGACGTCGGATGTGCATCAGAAGAGGGTTTATCAGGCCGCGATCACGGAGGTTCTGGAGGAGTGTAGTCAGAAGAGGTACTGTATCCTGGAGAGTGACACGAGTTCCTCTATCCATGGTCTGAAGGACCTCCCAGTAGGAGAGAGAAAGAAACGCCCGTCACATCTGGTGGAATTGCATGAGTGTGTCAAAGGTAAAGAGCGTGATATAGCTATGGAAATGTTTAGTGCAAGTTTTAATGTTAAGAGTATGCTCCACGTTGTAGACGTTGTGGTCCTACCCTCACCACTCATATTTGTATTATATATTCTGTTTCATTCCTTTCTGCATTCATATTGTACACGTAATAACAGACTGACCTAAAACATGTGATGACACTCCAAAAGGTTTTTTGTTTGGTTAAGGCTAGATTCACCCTGCCTACCCTAACCTCATTCCACAAGGTAACTGGGATCTATTCTAACTTGGAATCACCACGTGGTTAATGTGTTATGAACAAATGAAACACGGTGATTCCATCACTGGCAGCTGGGAACATTACTTTCTAAGTAATCTATTGTGTGACCGGCATCTGATATCACTACTCCACTGCCGTCTTAACATTTTTCTCACAGCCTTCTCATTTCAAAGGAGTGTACTCATCCATGTAAACACTTATAATTGTGACAATATTTGTATAATTGTGGCATGTGAGAATAATCTTAAGATTATAATTATCTTCAGACGGGACTCAATCTAAAAAAGTATGAGAATCTGTACTTTACTAAGAAAGTGTAATCACAAATATAACATTTGTTACATTTGACCACTTTCTAAATGACATTGTGTATTCAATTTTATCATTGGTTATTTGGAATTGATTTTAAACGTGTGCCAGCATACAGAATGGATAAAAATGACAACATATTTCCTATTATTTGTATAAAAAGTATAAAATCGACAAATCGAATTATAAGTGATTTACTTTCTCAGACAAGTAGAGCATATAATTTCAGACCAAGTTGCCAGTGTCTTGTTGTGTGACAGCAAGACCAAAACAGACAAGAAGGTCTACATCAGCAGCAACCGACTGAAGATGTCATTTCAGGAAACAAGCACCTGCAACTGTACAGTCAGTGGAGCTGCGAGCCGCGTCACCCTGCTGGACGTCAGACTGGACAACAGCCACGTGACCACACTGTCCATCAGGGACAAGACACGTACAGTGTACACAATCCATGGTGGCGACCAGGCAGTCCACTTCATGAAGGAGATTAACATCAGCCAATCAGAGTGGAGTTTACAGGTGGATGTTATCCGAGACTATCTCCCTGACAAGATATGGATGAGAGTGGAAGGTAATTATTTAATAATGCACCTTTGATGACAAAACGTGTAATGTTATCATTAATATTAAACGTCTTCGTTAATTAATTATCTTCCTTTTCTACAGGACACAACGGCTCTGACGTTACAGTCACATGTAAGGGTATGTCCTTTGCTATTATTACTTGGAGGAGCGGTTGGGTAGACTAGTGGTTAAAGCGTTCGCTCGTCACGCCGAAGACCCGGGTACAATGCGTGAAGCCCATTTCTGGTGTCCCCCGCCGTGATATTGCTTAATGGTGGCGTAATGCCATACTTACTCACTCACTCACTATTTCTTCTTGTCAAAATATGCTCGCTCACTCATTCAGCATAATTATTTTCTTTGGGAACGTCAGCATTCCGATAATCTAAATATTCTGGATCAGCAGGAGAATAATAATACGAACACACAATGCCATTTAGAAAGAGGTCAAATGTAGCACATGTTATATTTGGGATAACACTTTCTCAGTAAAGTACAGATACTCGTACTACCCTCAAAACTCACCCCAAACCTCTGTCAATAATAACGACACGAGAATAATAATGACACGAATTACATTTCACACTTCGTCATATCACGTTTGAAAAGGAAGTCCTAAACAGCTTGGTTAAATGATATTGTCGATTTCTTTTTTCAGCGACAGAAGCAGCTTCAAACACCGATGGGACGCAATCAGTGCCATCAGGTAAGGCCGTTCTTGGGTTGGTACAAGTGCATGTATCTGTTTGATTCGATTAATAGAATAACATTGTGTGCTTGTTTTAGACACGTCTGTGTATCGGTGGTAAAGTTCGTCTACCAACTGGTGTACCAAGTTATATATATATACCTCCTTTTAAATGTACACATTCGTCAAATTATGTTTCAGTTGGATCAAGGCTTGTTTTCCTTCCTGTTGGGTTTTTGGTTGGATTTGTGACTGTTTGTATTATCTTCATCTTGTATATGAAAAGGTTGGTACCACACCAATACATTTTATTGCATGGACGTTTGTCAATATGAAAAAACATTCGTGGCAAGAGAAATCTATATTTCCGAAACGACATGTCTAAATTCATTATATGCATGCAGACAAATCTATTTATAATTATCAATATACGTATATTATTCAATTGTTATCACAGAACCATCTATGAATTCTATTTTTACCCAGGAGACAGAGCAACCCGGCCTTTGTTTCACCTTCGCTACGGTTTACCCCTGAAGGGAATGACGCCCTTGAGCCCATCTACTCCTTGCCCCATCAACATCGGGGGACAGACCCCCCTCGCCAACTTTCCACAAAGAGCTGTAGTCCCAATATCCACAACCAGGACGACCCCGACTACAGTGTGGCTACCCTCAAACCTAACCCCAACCCTCTGTCACTGTCAAACCTAACCATCGACAAGAACAAGCTTCGATCCAACACAGAACTGTGAACAGTGAAGTAACTATGACATCCTTGCAATTTGTTGCCCGTACGCAGATAGAAAATTTAATGTATAATTGATCTTAGTATTTGCTAGTAGCATATTTTTTGGGCTTTGCTGCGTCCTACCAAACGACGTTAAAATATGGTACTTGTTGTTACCATGTCTGGCGCTAGGCATTAAGGGGCTAAAACAAGGACTGGTCGGCTCGGAGTCAGTATACTGTGTCTGAGTGGGGTATTCATGTTGAACTGCGGCATGGTATCTCAGTATGCTAGCACTATAAATCGGCATCAGTCCGGACTAGTACAAGCAGCCACACACACAAACTCGCGTGCATGAACGTGGCTATAAAAGTGCAATAATCTTGGACGCGACGTTATATTAAAACCCATTTCACCTCACCAGACCATCAATTACAAGAAACCAGGCCTTGTTTCCTTAGGCAAAATATGAGACATACTCGGAAATGTATGAGTATGATCATCGTGTACAGTCACAGAGACATAACCTTTTCTATATTCGATTGTACATTATACGTTCAGTTCTTCCCTATTTTCAAATCATTACCTAATATTTCGTGATAACAAGGAGGAAAAATGAATCCGGCTTTGTTGAGACTTAGTGTGTTTTTTATACACTGCTACTGAAACCATTGCTTTACATGGCACGCACTTGCTTAACAGCCGATAATGAATAGCGAAAGCGATTCTATTAAGGAAAAACAGATATATACTAGCGGAAAAAGTAACTGTGCTTCATATAAAGTGGTGTGAATGTTGTTACTGAAAATATACAAAATAATATTTGGTCAGTCGTCTGATCAATGTTTTATCCTAACAATGTCATTGCCAGAACCCTTAATGGTAACACTAGGCAGGGAGGCTCGCCCTCTAAGTTTGTTTGTTTTGTTTGTTTGTTGTTTAACGCCGCACTCAGCAATATTCCAGCTATATGACGGCGGTCTGTAAAATAATGGAGTCTGGACCCGACAATCCAGTGGTTGACATCATGAGCATCGATCCACGCAATTGAGATCGATGACATGCATCAACCAAGTCAGCGAGCCTGACCACCCGATCCCGTTAGTCGCCTCTTTCGGCAAGCATAGTCGCCTTTTACGGGAAACATTGGTTGCTGAAGACCTATTCTACCCCTGATCTTCACCGGTTAACAATGTCAATATCGGATATTACAACCATTTTAGTAGATATTGGCAAGGCAGCGGCGGCACATTACAAGTGGTCAACCTACCTCGAGGGGTACATGGTGTGATGGGCCCTGTGTGTGAGCCAATGTATAGTGGTCAACCGACCTCGAGGGGTACATGGTGTGATGTGCCCTGTGTGTGAGCCAATGTATAGTGGTCAACCGACCTCGAGGGGTACATGGTGTGATGGGCCCTGTGTGTGAGCCAATGTACACAAGGTTCATCCACCTAATGCCCCGTGAGATCGGTTGACAAAGAACAGGCCCGGAATATATGTCCGCCTTTTTACTGAGTTAGCCAAACTCGAAGCAGGAGGACGCAAACAAACCGAGTTACTTCCCTTTACCCTAGCATTCGGATAAACGTCGGTTCATTTCAACTTAACGATACTCGAGATATGGAAATTACCTACGATGTGTTCCGATTGATTTCTCAATCTCATCCGAGACATCTTCTATGTGGGAGAGGTCTGGAGAAATAGCCGCCCATGGCAGTACGTTGTTACTTGTGTAGAGTATGTTAAGCTAGTGGAATGTTCAGTTCGTTGTTACCTGTGTAAAGTATGTTTAGCTAGTGGAATGTTGAGTTCGTTGTTGTCTGTGTACAGTATGTTTAGCTAGTGGAATGTTCAGTTCGTTGTTGCTTGTGTACAGAATGTTTAGCTAGTGGAATGTTCAGTTCGTTATTGTCTGTGTACAGAATGTTTAGCTAGTGGAATGTTCAGTTCGTTGTTGTCTATGTACAGTATGTTTAGCTAGTGGAATGTTCAGTTCGTTGTTGTCTGTGTACAGAATGTTTAGCTAGTGGAATGTTCAGTTCGTTGTTGCTTGTGTACAGAATGTTTAGCTAGTGGAATGTTCAGTTCGTTGTTACCTATGTACAGTATGTTTAGCTAGTGGAATGTTCAGTTCGTTGTTGTCTGTGTACAGTATGTTTAGCTTGTGGAATGTTCAGTTCGTTGTTGTCTGTGTACAGTATGTTTACCTAGTGGAATGATAAGTTCGTTGTTGTCTATGTACAGAATGTTTAGCTAGTGGAATGTTCAGTTCGTTGTTACCTATGTACAGAATGTTTAGCTAGTGGAATGTTCAGTTCGTTGTTGCTTGTGTACAGAATGTTTAGCTAGTGGAATGTTCAGTTGGTTGTTACCTATGTACAGTATGTTTAGCTAGTGGAATGTTCAGTTCGTTGTTGTCTGTGTACAGTATGTTTAGCTGGTGGAATGTTCAGTTCGTTGTTGTCTGTGTACAGTATGTTTAGCTAGTGGAATGATGAGTTCGTTGTTGTCTATGTACAGAATGTTTAGCTAGTGGAATGTTCAGTTCGTTGTTACCTATGTACAGAATGTTTAGCTAGTGGAATGTTCAGTTCGTTGTTGCTTGTGTACAGAATGTTTAGCTAGTGGAATGTTCAGTTCGTTGTTACCTATGTACAGTATGTTTAGCTAGTGGAATGTTCAGTTCGTTGTTGTCTGTGTACAGTATGTTTAGCTGGTGGAATGTTCAGTTCGTTGTTGTCTGTGTACAGTATGTTTAGCTAGTGGAATGTTCAGTTCGTTGTTACCTACGTACAGAATGTTTAGCTAGTGGAATGTTCAGTTCGTTGTTGTCTATGTTCAGTATGTTTAGCTAGTGGAATGTTCAGTTCGTTGTTACCTATGTACAGAATGTTTAGCTAGTGGAATGTTCAGGTCGTTGTTGTCTGTGTACAGTATGTTTAGCTAGTGGAATGTTCAGTTCTTTGTTGCGTGTGTACAGTATGTTTAGCTAGTGGAATGTTCAGTTCGTTATTGTCTATGTACAGTATGTTTAGCTAGTGGAATGTTCAGTTCGTTGTTACCTATGTACAGTATGTTTAGCTAGTGGAATGTTCAGTTCGTTGTTGCCTATGTACAGTATGTTTAGCTAGTGGAATGTTCAGTTCGTTGTTACCTATGTACAGAATGTTTAGCTAGTGGAATGTTCAGTTCGTTGTTACCTGTGTACAGTATGTTTAGCTAGTGGAATGTTCAGTTCGTTGTTGCCTATGTACAGAATGTTTAGCTAGTGGAATGTTCAGTTCGTTGTTGCCTATGTACAGAATGTTTAGCTTGTGGAATGTTCAGTTCGTTGTTGTCTATGTACAGTATGTTTAGATAGTGGAATGTTCAGTTCGTTGTTACCTATGTACAGTATGTTTAGCTAGTGGAATGTTCAGTTCGTTATTACCTTTGTACAGAATGTTTAGCTAGTGGAATGTTCAGTTCGTTGTTGTCTATGTACAGAATGTTTAGCTAGTGGAATGTTCAGTTCGTTGTTGTCTGTGTACAGTATGTTTAGCTAGCGGAATGTTCAGTTCGTTGTTGTGTGTGTACAGAATGTTTAG